GGTGGGAATCCCTAATCATTTTAGTCAGGGATAATTAGAAAAGAAGGTTGGGAAACTAGGGCTGAAAAGAGGGAACTGAGGGGAAATTGAGGCATGGCAGAGCAGCTTTAGAAATAGCCAAGGAAGTAGACTAAGCAACCACTAATGGAGGATCTTTGGAGTTGCACCTGGGGTCTGCAGGGAGGAGACACCAAGTCCTACAGGCCTGCATGCCATACGTACGGCTGGGAGCCACCGCACACACGCACGAAATCTTTGCTGGAGGACTAGCTCTTTGTTTGGGTGGACTGTGGGCAGGGCACTGTGAGGTTAAGCTGGCTTTCTCCTGAGATTTTTCTAGAATCCAGGTGATTCTTATCCTTGGGACTATGATGGGAGCTGGGAGAAACTGGCAGCTTCAGGTCATAAAATCAGAAATGTAGGTGACGTGGTGGTGAAGGTGCAGGACTCCTACATGACTGACAGGAGTCTGAGTCCTGGACCCAGTGGCTTGAAAATCATACCAGGTGCATGTGCATGAATGCCCCAAATCCCGAGAGAATGGAGGAGAGAAGGGGGCATGGTCATCCTTCCTGGGGCGTGATTTCTCACTTTCCTTCTCTCTGTCTCCCTCCTGCGAGTACACACATCCTATAGCAAAACCCCAAAATAAATACATACATAAATAAATAAATAAGCTGTAGCCATAAGGAAGGCCAACCAGATACAAAGAAGGTGATGTCTCCCAGGACGCACCCTGTGAGCAGCAAAGCACAAAGGTGTCCAGTGGTTACCGTGAAACTGAGTGACGGGAGAGACAGAAAAGATTCTGGAAAGCCAAGGGTGGAAACTGAAAAATATATTTTTTAAAGAATTATTTTTTTTATTTATTCATTCATTTTATTTTTTTAAATTTTGACCAGAGAGGGACAGAGCAAGAGAGAAGAGAGTGGGAAAGTGGGAGAGCAAGCCTCCAGGTCCAGGACTCGAACCATGGTCGGCCATGTGGGAGTCCAGCGTCCTTAACCACCACACTACCTGCTGGCCCCGGAAACTGAAAAATTATTAAATAGCACCCGTTCTTACCAAGTTAAGATACATAAATATCGTTGAGGATTCATATAGCCTCTATGCTATTATTTTTTATAAATATAAATATATATGAGGGCTTTCAAAATATTTTAAGTGACACATACATTCTAGTATAAATATTATGCTCCAGGTTCGTACAACTGACTTGATGTTACATTTAAACACAGCAGATTTGGGGTTATAGAAAGAATAATTTTTTCAGACCATTTTCTAAACCTCGATCACACAGCTAAGTGAATGCCAAAAACACAGGAAGTGTATTGGGGACTTTGGCGGCAGACATATTTTTAATCTATGTATTGATGCATTACCCAAAGATACACTTGTTCACATGTATAAGTGAATTATGGTCATCCACAAGTAATCTTCCACTTGAAAGCTTTTCTGTTTTCTTATCTGCTTCTTTGCAATCCAGTCTATGTGGGAGGGCTACTCAATGGCTTACAGCTCCTTTTCTCGGGAGTCTCATTATCTTCCTTAGAGGTATGTATTTGAAAATGGTTTCATGTTTCCCATTCAGGCTAAATAGCTCTTTTAAGATTCCTAATCATAAGATTACAGTCTTCACTATAAATGACACTGACACACATTTTAATAAAAAACAGTAAAAGATTTTCTATCATTCATTTCTAGCAGTGTGCTTTTAAAATAGGTTTGTTCCCAGCATTACAGAAAAAAACCTCCAACGTATCTGGGTTCCTCATTACAGATCTGACCTCCAATGTTTGGGGTTTGGAAAGTGAGCAGAACAGAGTCTGAGGATGAGGCAGGGTAAGAAAACTCCCAGGTTTCACAGATCCACAGAATGTTATAAATGCAGCCATGGGAACCAGTAATTAGCATAATGGCTATGTCACTGGACTCCCACGTGGTCGACCGCTGTTTGCGTCCCGGACCCGGTGGCTTAAAACTCATGCCAGGCATGTGTGCGTGCATGCCCAAGATCCCAAGAGGAGAATGGAGAAGGGATTGCGGCGTGACCATCCCCTCTGGGGGGGTTATTTCTCGCTTTCTGTCTCTATGTCTCTCTCTGTCTGTCTGGCGAGCATACGCGCCCTATAGCGAAAACCTCTCAAAAAAAAAAAAAAAGCAGTCACAGCAGAATCTAAAATTACCTTCTAAGTAGGGAAGGATGTCATGTCTAATTAGTCATGTGTTGCTTAACAACAGGGATGCATTCTGAGAAATGCATCATTGAGTGAGGCTGTCATGGGAACATCATAGACAGTTCTCAGCATAAACCAAGATGGTATAGTCTATACGCACCAAGGCCACATGGTGTAATCTTACGGGACCACTGTCGTCTAGGAGGTCCGTTGTTGACTGAAACATTATTCTGTGGCATGTGGCTACACTCTACAGAGTGAGTTCACAAAGTAGTGTTACACACATCTAAGCTAACTGGGCAGTGCGCCTTACCCCAATGGTTAAAGGAACACAGTATGGACACTAGTATGTCCTAGTTAAACATGTGTTCTCAGGTACAGAAAGATAGTTCAGCCTAAAGCCAAGGTTAAGTTATTTACCTTTGGTTTATTTCCCCCCAGAAAAATTCCTAACTGAGGACTGCTATAGTGGTAAAGTAAAAGTCCGCCTTTTTATTGTGATATTAATGAGGAACGGTTGATAAAGACATCAGGCACTAGATTCCCAGTCTGTGCACATTCTCTCAGTGAGTCACCTAGCATGTAAATTTAACTCAATGTAGGCAGGAGATTGGCAAGGTGTTATCTAGCTAATTAAGTCACATTTGGGATGGCCAATGAGATAAATCAGTGGGCCCAGCCACATTTGATAGAGCCAATAAGATGAGAACAATGGTGGGCCCAGCCAATGATCAACCGACATGATCTGGATGAAAACAGTGATAAACCTTGCAGAATGCAACTGTGGGGGCCTTTTGAGCCACTCTTTCTCTGTCTGCGCAGGCCCACTCCTATCTCTCAGGAGTGCACTTTTGCTTCTACTTAATCAACTACCTTTTCCTTTCATTCATACACACACACACAAATTAACTCAAGAAAATTATTAAAATAATCGGCTTCCAAAATACTTGAAACCTGCTCATGGTGTGGTGGTTAAGGTGGCTGGATCCCACGAAGCCAACCCTACAGTTTGAGTCTCAGATGAGGGGGCTTGAAACATACCTCGGGCATATGTATGTGTGTGCGTGCTAAAAATCCTGGGAGAAGAATGGAGAAGGGCTTTCTCACTTTCCACCTTTCTCTCTGTAGGAAATTAAAAAAGAGATATTGTCTTAGGAATATGAGATGAACCTAAATTAGTTTATTTCTATACCTCTCTTAAAAAAATCACCTCATGGCAAGAAATGTGTCTTTTAGCTCTGCTGACTTGAAAATAATTTCACTTAGAATTTTTCTTAGCTATTCCATACCATAGGGAACTGACTCAAAGTTGCTTCTAGTGGATGAAACATAATAAAATGGAAAAGATTTTTAAAATATATTTATTTAATTTTACTTATTATTTTTTAAATTTGCTATAGGGCACATGTGCTCACCAGAGACAAAGAGAAAAAGGGAAACTAAGAAAGCAAGCCATCAGTTTTTAGACTTGAACTGCAGTTGGCCATGTGGGAGTCCATCACCTTAACCTCCACACCACCTGCTGGCCCAGAATCTTAATTAATTTGAGTAGGGTTCAACTGGTTGACTCAATTGAGTGGCTTGGACACAAAATACCAATGGGCAGATCTCATTTCCAAAGCAGCCAAATACCACTGTGTCTTAAAACATGATTCTGGTGGCAAAGCGATATCTGAAATCAAGGTCTTCACAGCAGTAGCGGTTTCTAGTTGCGTGTCCATGGTATGGCTGTGGTAAATCTTCTGTCCCACAACCATGTTCAGTCACAGCTCACTCTGTGTTGGGCATGCTTTTTAAAGACATCTATGCCCCTGGAGGAACCGTCTGAAACTTCGGAACAGACCAAACAATGAAGCTAATCTTTCAATCACCTCATCCTGTGGCACTTTCTCAGCTACAGACTCCTCTGTCCTCCTCACCTACAGCAGAATGTCTGGGTCAAGATGGTGCCCAATGATTACAAGCAAGCTGAGTTTAGCTGAAGGCTGACACTGAGCTCAGAAGGGCGTTCCTTCCTTATCTTCTCAGCTTTGGGTTTCAGACGAGCTTACAAACGGCATAACGTAAGGGTATGTAAGCCAAGTCTGATGAGTTTTGTTCACTATCAAGCTATCAACAGGTGTCCAAGGAAGTAAGGTGATCTAATAGAACAACACTTCTAGCCTGGGAGAAAAGTAAAACCAGTCAAATCACATCTTTTTTTAATACTTCACATTAAAAAAACAAAGACAAAACCAAAAAAACAACAACAACAACAAAAAAGAAAACACAGAAAAAACCATAATTGAACAAAGCCTGAGATTCCCTGCTTTTACGTGCTACCTTAGCCTCAATTTAAAACTTATACTATCTGTTAAAATGCTCAAATGAAGGCCTTTGCTGCTGTGGTGCAATTGGGAGGGTGCTGCTATGCAGTGGCTGAGGTCACATAGGGAGTCTGGGTTTAATTCCTGGTCCAGCCTAAGTTGAGATGACAGTAGTCGCCTGTGGTCCTGGCTAACTGGGAGGTTGGGACCAGAAAGAGCATGACATGGCAAAATCCTGTAAAAAATACCTCTTTCAGGACCAGCAGATGGTGTAAGTTATGTTGCTGGACTCCCACATGGCCAACTGCAGCTCGAGTCCTGGACCTGGTGGCTTGAAACACAAGCCTGGAGCGTGTGCATGTGTGCCCCAAATCCCAAGAGAATGGTAGAGAAATGACTGTGGTGTGGCCATACCCCTAGGGGGGTGATTTCTCGCTTTCTGTCTCTCTGGCGAGCACAAGAGACTTACAGCAAAAATCTAATAAAAAAGACAAAAAATGAAACAACATAAACCCCCTTTTTCTCTTCTCCACAAGTGTGTGTGCATCTTTCTCACTAAAATATTTTTTTAATTATCAAAGGCAACCCCATTGCCACGTCAGAAAAAAATGTCTGTGAGGAAAACAAACCACAACTTAAAAATAAGTAAACGGGATTTACATTGACAGAGTGCTAGTAAGATATTTTTGTTAAAATAATCATGTTTCTAAAAAATAGTGTGAAAATATATGTATCTCCAAGTAGAATGAGGTTTAGTCAGAAGGCTCAGTGAAATCATTACTTAAAAAACTGACCAATAAAAAAGATAGGCTAAATCACCTCCCCATCTTTGACCCTTCCTTACTTTCCTGCCTTCAGACGCTCCCAGCCTAGCTATACTAAAGCAAAATAACCTAAAAGCCATGAAAAAGTGCTGGTATTTTTCAGAATGTCTTTGAGACAATTTCTTCTTGGTAACTTGGATTCTCTCTCTGATCAAGGCAACTGATGGGCTTTGAATGTATTTGGAGATATCGGTTCAAAGACCTCATCGTCATCTTCCACCCCTTCTTCTATTGGTTTCATCCTGGATGAACTTCGCTGGTGTGGGGATGACACATCTGTGAAAACACACAGAAAGAAAAATTGCTTAATGCAGAGCCTTCCCTAGAACTAGTATGAATTTATATCAATTATATCAAATTGGCAGAATTGTATCGATTACACAGTCCAATTGGAAAATAAAACTCTATGGGATAATCTATGGCCAGTACTCTATAGCTAGGACCAGGAATAGAATTTCCCTGAACACAGTACGTTCCTTTTCTTTTTCATTTTATGATTTATTTATATTTAATTTTTTATACATCATTATAGTGTACAATATGGTTTTCTTTTTTATAAAAAAATTTTAGAGAGAGATTTTTGCTATAGGGTATGTGCACTTGCCAGAGAAACAGAGACAAAAAGTCAGATGTCATGTGCACTTGCCAGAGAAACAGATACAAAAAGATGTCAACCCCTCCTCTCCAGGGAGGATGGCCACACCACAATCCCTTCTCCTCCATTTTCCTCTTGGGATTTTGGGCATGCACACACACGCCTGGCATGAGTTTTAAGACCCCAACACACACACGTGCCTGGCATGCGTTTTAAGCCCCCAAGTCCAGGACTCAAATTGCGGACAACTATGTGGGAGTCCAGTAATGTAACCATTATGCCATCTGCTGGTTGACCAATGTGGTTTTCAAAGCATGCATGCAGTGCATGACAATCAAATCAAGATGTTACAAAATACATCACTTTATTTGCAACAGAGAACTTTACATTCTTGTGTCTGTCAAGTGGTTTTACCCTTAGCCCCTCCCTCTCATCTCCTGTCGTATAGTCTCTCTCCTGTCGTATAGTCTCTAGTATCTACATTTGCCCCCCCTACTATTGAGTTGTTGGGCAAGTCATGATGCATTTTTACATAGAAAAACAGAAAAATATGTTGTTACTTTTCCTGTGACTCGAATCTTTCAGTTTCTTCCATAGAGTGCAAACATTCAGTATTTATTGAGTGGGGATATATATATATGTTTGTCTTTCACAGCTTGGCTTACTTTGCTTAGCATTGAATCTTCTATATTCATACATTTTGTACCAAATGACAGGGTCTCTCTGCTCTTTATGGCTGAATAGTATTCTATAATGTACATATGCCACATTTTTCCTTCTGGACATCAGTTCTTGGACATGCAGGTTAATTCCGTGTCTTAGCAATTGTGAATAATGCTGGAATAAACATGAATGTGTGAGAGTCTTTAAAACAGAGTTTTCCTATCTTTTGGATAAATACCAAGAAGTGGGATTACTGGGTCACATGGTAGCTCTATCTGTAGGTTTTTGAAGAACCTTCCACATTCCTTTTTACCTGTGCCACAATCCCGAGGCAGAACAGCATGCAGTCAGTTAGCAAACACAGAACTGCAAATGCAAGCGGGGTGTGAGGCTGCTATGGAAGGAAGACAGGTGAAACCTGACCCCTCGAATACTTGCTAACAACAAAGGAGAATCCAGGGATCTCATTAAGACTGGAAGCAGATTGGCTACATGATAATTGTGGAAATTTGTCAAGATCAGCTATCACTCTCTGGCAAGATTCAGCATCAGGCAGCAGGGTTGGCCTGCACCAAGGGCATGCTGTGGTAAGCAGGGAGGAGCAGGGGCCACAACACAGGGCTGCTCCTGGGAGGAAGGACGACACTGTGGGAGGATCCTTATAGCACTTAGCGAGGAGTAAGCAATTGTCCTGGCCCTCCTCATGGCGCAGGGAAGACAGCACACAGAATGTTTGAGCCCAGAAGCTCAGGAAATATTTCCAGGGTTCAAATCCCTGCTCTGCTGCTTCCTAACTACGTGACCCCTACTCGGTGAGTAAACCACTCTAAGGTTCAGTTTCCATATATGCAGAAAGGAGATTCAAAGGACCTGCTTCATAGGGTTGTTGGGAGGGTTAAAGAAAATAATGAACGGGACCAGCAGATGGTGTAATGGCTACGTTGCTGGACTCCAATGTAGTCAACTGTGGTTCGAGTTCCAGACCCAGTGGCTTAAACTCACGCTGGCCATGTGTGCGCGTGTGCCCAAGATCCCAAGTACAGAATGGAGGAGAAGGGATTGTGGTGTGGCCATCCACCCAGGGGGTGTTTTCTCGCTTTCTGTTTCTCTCTGTCTTTCTGGCTAGTGCACGCGCCCTACAGCAAAAGCCTCTCCAAGCAATAATAATAATGAATGTAGGGGCCACCGGGCGATTAAGGCACTAGACTCCTACATGGTCGACCATAGTTTGAGTCCTGGACCTGGTAACTTGCTTCCTCACTTTCCCTCTCTCTGTCTCTTTCTGGTGAGTGCGTGAGTTCTACAGTAAATTTAAAATAATAATAAAAATAAATATAATTAAATAATTACTAATAAAATTTTAAAATAATTAATGTAATATGATTAACAGGTTGCTGGACACATAGAAGACATCACTAAATCTGGAGAATTGCTACTACCAACAGTTACATCTTTTAACATAAAAAGATAATAATTACTTAGGGCTGGACTTTGTCACAGCCAGTGTGCGTCTATCTGTATATACATGGACATTATTCACAAAAAGACACTTAGAGCAAAAATCCTAAGTTTCTTGCAAGATGATTACTGACAGGGATCCAGCAGTTAGCGTAATGGCTATGTTGCTGGACTCCCACGTAGTCGACCGCAGTTCGCATCCCGGACCCGGTGGCTTAAAACTCACGCTGGGTGCGTGTGCGTGCATGCCCAAGATCCCGAGAGGCGAATGGAGGGGAAGGGATTGCGGCGTGACCATCCCCCCTGGGGGGTGATTTCTTGCTCTCTTTCTCTATGTCTCTCTCTGTCTGGCGAGCGCACGCGCCCTATAGTGAAAACCTCTCAAAAAAGATGATTACTGACAAAAACTACAAAATTAAGCCTCTGTTTGAGCAGTCCAAGAATAAAATTCTGTCACAGAGCACGGCATGGGAAGGCCTCAGGCAGGTGCTTTGTTTCCTTTTCCCCCCAGGAAATATCAAACACACTAACCACCTCTTTAATTCACACCTCACCTCGAGTGGTAGTGAGTATCCTCTGTGGAACTTTAGGCAAGTTACTGCACTTTTTTGTACCTCCCTTTCCTTATCTGTATAATAGGAGTACTAAGAACAATGTCTACCTCAGTGGTTGTTCTGAGGACTGACCGTATTTACAAAGTTCTTAGATTGGTGCCTGGGATGATCACTGACACATGTTTGGAAGTGTATAAGGTTAATTCATTAATACGATCTTCAATAGGACAATAACATCCTTTCTCTAAATAATGAGGAAAAGTTGACAAAAGTCATCATTGTCCATAGCAATGGCCTTTGAAGGAAATAGGACTTTCGCTCAAAAAGGGGTTTGTGTTTCTTGATCTTAGCTATTCTGATTATAGTAAACTTATCTTTTCCACCTCCCTCTTAAATGGTAGTAGCCATCCATAGCTCCTATATATTTCTAGACTCAAGTTACAAACGAATCTCATAAAACATTAATTTAGGCTAAGTGTCTGAGATCAGATAAAACCCACAGAACAAACAATGAGATGGCATGCCAGACAGCATTACACCACATCAATAATATGTATTATTTAGACATAATTGCATTATATACACAACACAGCAGAGACACACCCAGCTTATTTTGACTGAGGAACTGGGACTCATCGCTCTCTAGTTCTCAAGCCCATCGATCGAGAGCATCCTGAGGCAAGTATCTATAGTGGAGCCACAGTGCTATCTGCCTCTCTGAACTACCTCACCTGTCACTGCATTTTTTTCACTGACAGAAAAGGGAGGACCCAAAAGTTGATGAAAACTTTCCTCAAAGAACATTGAACTTTTCTGTGAAAAAATTATCCTGCTTCTGCTGTATCAGCCTGGGCAGAACTGTTGTGGTACTTACTGTGTAACGTTAAAAGGAGAATGAGGAGACCAGCAGATGGCATCATGGTGACATTGATGGACTCCCACATATCGACCACAGTTTGAGTCCTGGACCTGGTGGCTTAAACTTACGCTGGGCACATGTGCATGCATGCCCAAAATCCTGACAGAAGAATGGAGGAGAAGGGATTGCGGTAAGTTCATCCTCCTCAGAGAGTGATTTCTCACTTTCTTTTCTTTCTTTCTTTCCTTCTTTCTTTCTTTCTTTTTTTACAAACATGCTAGAAACTTTATTTGGAATAGTAGCTTAGAAAGCTTTTATAGTTCCTCTTTTCCGGCTGGAACCATGGAGGGTGTTCAAGAGAAGAAAAAGAAGCTTCCTGCTGTGGCAGAAACCAAGAAAAAGGCTCTTGCTGCTGCGGAAGCCACCAAGAAAAAGGTTCCTGCTGTGCCAGAAACCCTTAAGAAAAAGCGAAGGAATTTTGCGGAGTTGAAGATCAAGCACCTGAG